GGCAAACTGAACAGATTGACTTACCAGATACCATTGATCGTGGAACTTGGGGTCGTGAGGAACGTCGTGTTTACGAGATCTCACCAACACGTGCTGTTGCTCGGCCCATACGACCTGCAAAGATGATGATATCAATAACTTGATGATGATGATAATCATGTTGATGATGGTGATGGTGATAGATGTTGATGGTGATGATGGAGGTGATGGTGTTGGTGATGTTATAGACTAATTAAAGTACTATCATTTTCCCTTCAAACTCACCTCGTCTTCCAACATCAACAGCTTTGTCTTTTCATGTGCGTGTGCATGTCTTCTGTGGCGCTCACCAGGCTTACCAACATGTTTAAAATGATAATATCCCTTTAAAGATCCAACCTGAAACAAAAAATATTTCATTTTTTAATCTCATATTTTTTATTTTAACATTTTCGCCTTTAAATTTGGTGTAACCGCATTGGAATTCCATTCCTTGACACTGAAAGGGTTGCCTATTGTTTTGTTTTCCAATCACAGAACAATTTGAAAGACCAATTATATTGCTACAAAAAATCCAGAAATTTTGCTGTACTTTTTAAAATGAAAGTGTAGAGTAATATCTCTTATCACGAAAAACAGACATCTCATATATATATTATCAACATGTGTTGAAAAACTAGAAAAACGTCGGTTACTGGCGGATTGTTCAATAGCAAAATACTTATATTTCGTAAATACTTCTCCAGCTCGCGAAATGCCAGGGGGAAAAAGAAATTCCAAGTTCAAAATTTTTATCTACATAATGCTTCTTTTGTAAATAAAAGCTAAGTTTTTTAGTACAATATTTTCGTGATATTTTGATATGAAATTATTGAGATTCGACCTCAAATGTTTGTAAATAAATAAGCTAAACTATCTGAGTTATATTCTCAGAAATTCCAAGTATGGGGTTTTCCTTTCCGATCGTGCTTCTAAATCTTACTTAATGTTATTTTTGTATGCGAAATAAATATCCTTCAATCTTTAGTTTGTTTATTTTGAAGTTGTTTTTGAAATATAACAGGAAGATTTTTGACTGTAAGTCCAACAATAAACTTTTTCTTTGAGTCTATCAAACTTAAAGCTATTTGGGAAAATAATTGAACTTATCGACAAATAGTCGGAAAAACAATCCAGCAATGTCAAGAAATGTTTATAGTTTGGCTTCACTTAAAACTAAACTCCCGTGAACACAAACAATCAAACACAACCTGCCGAGGACAACTCACCTGACCTAGATTTTCAAAACCATGTTTCTCTGCGAGTCTATCTGCTACTTCAAGTTCTGCTGGATCTAACTGAACTCCCCACGAGTTGGTAAACAATAAATTTCCATCCTCGCTTTTTAAGGCGTCTTCAAACTTGTGCAATTGTTCCCATTCTTTACGTGTAAGCTTCGGACCTTTATATCTTGATTTTCTCGTCGATCCGTTACGATTAACTCTAGTCTTAAATTTTCGACCCTCTAGCGAAGATATTTGAAATATAAATAATATTACTAACGTCCAATGTACCCATAACCTAGACTTCATTTTATAGTTTATATATATTATGATAGTAATAAAAAGGGTCTTAAATTTTAGTGTTTTAGAGTCGTCATCATGGGGGGCTACTTAAAAAGTCTGATCTACGTCAAATCTAGCAGGTTAAACTTGACTTCGTCTGTTTTCCTTTCACGGTTCATTTCATATGATTTTTTTGCGGTCATTACTTTAAACTTGCATGCTTTTGGCCTTAAATGTCTCATGTGGTGTTCCTCAAGGGTCAGTTTTGGGACCGCGGCTTTTCTTTTTATATGTTAATGAATTCCAAAACTCTTTAAGTGTATTTGATGTCCATCTATTTGTTGATGATCAGGTTCGTATATAACAAGCTGAGCGAGAGCTAGAGGTTAATGGATGGAGATTCAGGTCACTGGGAATTCAAAAGGTACTCGATGCATTGAGAAGTTAAAACACAAGCCTTAAAATGGAATTTAGTGACTTTGTCATTGGAAGTGATTTTAGAATTTCTCCCCTACCTAATACAAGAACTTTCCTGAAATATTCATATTCCGTGATAAAAAGACGGTGTTATGACTTGAACGAGATTGGTACATTTTTTTAAAGCCACTATTCATTTAGCCTGCGTAGCGGCCCAAAAGGGAAGGGAAGGAAGTGGATTGGGACTGGTGAAAGAAGGAGAAGGAGGGAAGAGGAAGGGAGGAGAGGGGGAGTGGGGAGAGCAAGGAAGGAGGGGGGACCCAATTCACTTCCTTCCCTTCCCTTTTGGGCCGCCACGCAGGCTACTATTCATTTTAATTCTTCTCTGTTCTCAATGATTTAACCGCCACCTTTGGAAAACAATTTCTTTCACAAAGAAAAAATGGGAAAAATCTTSGAAGAAATGCTTTTCTTTGTACACCTTCATGGAAGTTTCCATACCATTGACGTCACACTGTTCTGGTGCTTCATATAATCTACAACACCTACTGGCTACGCCACTAGAGAAAAACGTTTGCGCATGCGTGCTTTTCAGCACGTTTTCCAAGAATTTTAGAAAAATATTAACAGACAGACCCAGTCATAACCAGAAAGTACATGAACACTGTTCTCTTAGTTTTATTATCAAAACACAACGATACGGTCACAGACCAAGAGCAACTTCTTTGACGGCCATACAGTACTTGTATATATTATTATTAATAAATTGATGCTGTTTTAATAATATATTAATACTTCATTTCTTGGTAATGGATGGAAGGGATCATGTTTTCTAACAACTTGAGACCAAGTACAGGTTTCTGTGACCTAGGTGAATGCAGACGTGGTTTGGTATATGCGAGCGATCCGTTGATAAACGATATTAAATGGTGCTGATGTGGTAATTTCTATTCAGAGTAGATGTTGCTTTGTTTAACGAGTGTTAGTATGCATAGTAACAACGTGCGTGCATACGGAGTCAACGAATTGATGGTTTTCACGGCGGCCATGTTGGAGGAACTTAAAAGAATTGTCAATGAATTCTTTTGTTACATCCTCCAACATGGCCGTCGTATCTTTTGTTATTTAATTATCTTGGGAATGGTTGAAAACCATCAATACTTTGTTCTACAAGTTAGCCTTGATTTCGTATGGAGTTACTTTGAATATTCATGCATTCCAGTGAAGGTCCGTGGAATTTCAAAGTGTTTGTATTGTTGAAGTTGTGCATTCTTTACTTTACCATTGGTATTAGTGAATATTTAGACACTGATACGTGGCTAACTGTATAAAAGAGACTGTAATCAAGGAACAAGACAAATTAGATCTATAGAGGCTTTGCACCATCACGTGATGGCAGCCATAACAAGAGGGAGAAACAATTAAATCTAATCTGATTTACATGAGGAAAAAGGAGGAAAAGACTCTGTTGTGCTGCCTCCTGTCATGGCTGCCATCACGTGACCGTGCAAGGCCTCTATTTCAGAACGTCGATTAACCCCCAAGGTCTAAGAATAGCTAGAATGTAGAGTTTACGAGGCTGAATTTTGAAGCAGGCATCACTGAGGTTTGGTAGCCATGGTTATCCTATAGGGAGTGAAGCTTGGAGAGGGTAGTTCTATCTTCCCATGTATATTACTTTTATCTAAAGATACTAGTTTTTGAAAGGGTTTGAAATTCCAATCATTTTTACCCAAACTACTATCCCTTACCTCCCCTCCCTCCTTACTCCACCATGAATTCTTTCTATGACAGTATTAAAGATTTTGGCAATAAAAATACAAAAAACTAAGACGCCTATTGGATCGTCATTTTCGAGCAACTAATCTACCCAATCACCCAGCTTTCCCTCGTGAATTACTTTTTTCCAAATATAGATACATTAAACATAAATAGCGGAGCCTGCGGTCCTTTTGGTCTCCGCAAACAAACGAATTTAATTTTCATCGATATTACTGGCTTTTACTGTCGTATCAGCCAATCAGAAACAATAACAGTTGGATTCGCCCAGACCCAATCACTTTTTAGCGGAGACCAAAGGAAACTCGGGCTCTGAAAACGAAAATAGCGAGTGACGTGTTTTTGATGATGCGCAGAGTATTATATAATTTTAGTACCCAGGAAATCTCGTTTTGGTCTAGCTCATAAGAGACTAGGAAAAGATAGTTATATAACTGTACATAAAATAGTTTTAGAAAGTCAGTGTTTTTCCAGTCCTCCAGGCGAGCAGACGAACACCGATTTAATTAATAAAAGCATAATAATTAATTTATTAACTATCAATTAATAAGTATGTATAAATTAATCGTAAGTACCATAAAAGGTCAAAACCCATTTCAGTAGTACACCAGAGCAGCCCTGGGCAAGACAAGGAATAGTTGGATTATCGTAGCCCGCGTTGACTTGTACTCGTTGGGTAGCGGTTTCCTGCTTAGCCACTTGTACTTTCTTGGAATTACTTAAGTTCTTCTTAGAAACGAAACTTTTCTTGGTACCAAGTTCCTCCTTATTTGTATTTTTCCTATTTTTCTTAATAAAACGGTTTTGATTTGCTGGTTTTCGTAAAACGAATACTCCAGTTCCTTTATCTGCCTTATATTCACTTCCGTATAATCCACTTCCGTTGTCTGGTGTTTCGTCACTTCCGGTATCTCCACTTCCGTCGTCCRTGTCCTCGCGGTTCGAATCAAATGTATGTTGGTTTGAAGGCCGTGCAATTTTGCTTCTATCGTAGACATATTCAGTGAAACTTGCTGAATCACTCTCGGTTAGATTGAAGAGGTCGTCGACTATGTTTTCTTCAGTTTCCGTTGTTGAATCATTCTCCTTGGGTTTTTTGACGCTATTTCGTCGTACACCAGGGGGGTAGGGAAAGTCGAAGTTTGGGCTCTTAAAAGCAAAACGACAAAAAAAAAAAAACCCTTCAGTATGACCACCTGCCGTCATTTTAAAGTTCCATCACCTCAAAAATAATTTAGAACATTCCAAGCCCAGCAATAGAGGCTTAGTACCATCACGTGACGGAGCAATACAATCGTTTCAAATAAGGAATTCAATTCCCAAGAGCAAAGGGGTTTTGTTGTTCTGCCATCTAACCACAGGCAGCCCAAACGTGTTATGGGTGTGGGCACGTGATGGGGCAAAACCTCTATAGCTGTATATCCATGAGAAAATAGAGCGCACGCAATATATCCGTGAAACAATTACTAGCCTTGTAGCGCTTAAAAAATCGTTATCAACTATTTGGTTGTAAAATAGCTAAGAATTCATTCAGGCATGAACCAAACAAAGACGTGTAGAGGTATTTGCTTTTGTTCCCAATGTTCTGCTCCTGTGATATCCACTATCTCGTGCATAGCAGGAAAATAGCTGCAATAATCCCCTTCACAGTTCCAGGCGCCATCTTGAAATTTAGTCGTGCCTTTGCATCGAAGCAAGACGAACGGTGAGCTTGTAATGATAGAGACGTGAATAATTGTCCAAGGTGTTTGTCCAAAAAAGACTCTCTCATTGCAAGTTCACCGTTCGTCTCGTTTCGTTGCAAAGGCACGGCTACCTTTCAAGATGGCGCAGGGAACTGTGAAAGGGACTATTAAGGCAATACATCGTTTGGTTTTATTTCACGGATATATGACGTGCAGTCTACAGTATTGATGGTTTTCAACCATTCCCAAGAGAATTAAATAACAAAAGACACAGCGGCCATGTTGGAGGATATAACAAAGGAATTCATTGACAATTCTTTTGTTAAGTTCCTCCAACATGGCCGCCGTGAAAACCATCAATATCGCTAATGATTCAATCCTTACATTCAGTTTAATGGTTTGAATCTTCGAGGCTTGTTGTTTGGTTTGCTCGTCAATAACCTGTTCCTCAAGGTCTTCTACATCTGTTTCTTGTTTACTTGTATCGAGATGAAGAGTGCCAAACCCATCCACCACTCGATCACCGATCTCATTCAGTGGATTATCGATCAGTTTTAACGTCCACTTACCATGGGGGTTCTCACCTGCAGGTCAGAGTAAACTATTGAGGGTGATAAAGAAAAACATATTGTGTACCATTTGACACGCGTCAGTCAATTGATCAAGCTTGCAAGTAGTAAGCAGGCAAATAAGTATGCAGGTATGCAAGGAAGGAAGCAACAAGCAGGCACGCAAGTACACGAGCAGGCAAGCAGTCACGCAGGCAAGTAGGCACGCGTGCAAACTGGCAAGCAGTCACGCAGACAAGCGGGCAAGCAGTCATGCAGTCAAACAGACACGCATGCAAACTGGCAAGCAGTCACGCAGACAAGCAAGAAAGTAGGCACGCAGCCAGGGAAGCAAACAAGCAAACATAAAGCAAGCAAGCAAGGAAACAAGCGAGCACACAAGCAAGCAAAGAATCAAGCAAACGAGCAAGCAAGCAAGAAACTAGAAAGCAAACAACCGAGCACACAAGCAAGCAAGAAAAGAAGCAGGCAAACAAGCAAGCAACCAAGCGAAAGAAAGGTGTGGTAGAGTTAGAAACGTTTCGTATTGCCATTATCATCAACTGCAACAACTTTTCTTCTTACCCCAGCAGTGCACAGTCATAAATGCCCAGTTATCAAGTCCTTCTTTCGAGTCATCATAGCGACGTGTCGACAGCATCTCGTTTTTAGTCCCGGATGGTGACGTCAGCAACAGGCTAACGTCTCCACGGCGACGGTGAATGAAACTGATGGTCAAAACCACGTGTTCTAGTTTTCTGATCTCGGCTGGTGTTTTTTCACATCCTGTAGTTGGGATGTTGATGCTCAGGAATCCTCCAGCAGGAATATCTCTAAGAAAGAATACAATGGATGTTATAGTCAGTGTACGTGGTTCTTGATTTCACGGCAAAACCGCTGACACGGGTGGCGTAGCGGTGCTCGGTGCCATATGTGAGTTGAGTTGTTTGTTAGTTCTCTCCTGTGCTTCGAGGGTTTTTCTCCTGATTCTCTGGTTTTCCTCAGTTCCACCGCAAAAATTGACTTCTAAATGGGGTATAAATAAATACGTCAACCATGTCATCAAGTGAGAATATGCTATCACCTTTCTTGTATCCCCGCTGCCCCTGTACACTGCCTCTGAGGTCCAACACCTTTCCATATCTTAGCTTTTTCAACCATAGCATCGGCGTCTAATCGCCCAAAACCAAACTTATGGTTGAAACTGTGCCCAGCACCGTTGACCATCCATCCGTCCTCTACTGGGCTTGTCATCTGTGCAGTCTCCACAATGATGTGCTGGACGTCGCGCCAGATTAAATTAGGACTGGGAAGATAATAGTTAATAAGCATGCGTTAGGGTGATGGGACGTGTTGCCAGGCAACAAGATGCTGACCAGTAGAAATGCAGGCCTTAGAAACGTGATTGTTTCAACATTACAATATTACACTGAGTGACAATCGAAAAACCGTGGGCACCTAGAAATATTTCAAGAATGTTTCTTAACCAATCAGAAGCGTTATTGTTATCTTCCCGTTATCTGGTGGTTTGAAAGTCAATTCTGATTGGCCAAAGAACAATAGATCATTCCTGGAATATTTCTAGGTGTCCGCACGGATTTTCATAAGACCTTTCACGAATTCGATTGGATGACCACATAACAATGGTTTGAAGTCGAGACTGATTTTCTTATTTATCAAGTCCAGCCTCGACTTCAAACCATTGTTTCAATGTCATCCAAGCGAATTCGTGAAAGGTCTATTAGCACTGTAAAACATCGATCCTAACGAGAAATTATTACCGAATTAATTTCACTTCGATCTTAGAATAGCCAAGAAATGACTTTAAATAATCGGCCAAATGCGAATTCAGGTGTCGATAAAATTTGAAGGTTTTTCTTAAACGAATTCAGTGGTCAAGAGAAGGGGAAATATTTTTTAATACCAAAGGCTTGGTTGCCAGGCTAGCCAATCAACTTCATACTTTGAAAATAATAGTTAATGAGCATGCGTGAGGGTGATGGAACGTGTTGCCAGGCAACGAGAAATTATTTTCGATTTTGACCAGTTAGGATGTAGGCCTAAGAAACACATTCAATCAGCTAGCCAATCAGCTTCTTACTTTGCTTCCAGCATAAGAGCCACCATTCCTGCCGCTAATGGCGCCGCTGAGGAAGTTCCCTTGAACTGCTCTGTACATTTGTTCTTTAGATCTGTTGTTATCTGTCACAAAAGAGAGAGAGCGGCCATCTAGTAAAAACTGTAAACCTCTATATATTGGCCAGTTGTACATCTCTTAAGCAAAGCATTGTCTAAGTCACAAAGAACTAATTTGTAAGGCCATCGCATACTTCCCTCTATAAGTCACCACTTGTCACTTGTCTTTGAAAGGCCGTTAATCTTAATRGACACTTTTAGCTTAGGCGTAAAGTTTTCTCATTTCAGACCAAGTCATTCCCTTAGAGTATCACTATTTCTTTGTTGAACGGCTGCTCATAAGAAGACACATGTATAGATACAACTCAAACAAATAATCTTATTCTCAAAAGAAATACACGTGGTTTGAAATGAGAAAGCATTACGCCCAAGGTAAAGAGGTCTATTTTGGGCAGATCTCGTCGTAAGAGAGGTCTGTAGAAGTTCTACTGTAAAGTGGAACTGAACGCGCGCGCGCCCATAAGATATCGCCGGATACTTTTTACACTGCCAAGAAAGTTTGCGTCACTTAAGGTGGCTGCCTACTTTTGAACGTTCGAATTGAGCCCACAATGAGCGCGCGCTCAAAAACCGCTGAAAAATCTACAAGATTTTATTGAAGAACCATACGCGTTTTGAGCTTCAACAGGGCAAAACCCTCAAATTTTGCACGGGACTCTATATTTTTTGATAGCTCATTCGAAAAAACTYCTAAAAATCTAGGTTATATCAACATTTTAGGAAAAGTTTAAATCAGGAAGACGTGAAAAAAATAKATTTTTGTAGGGATTTTTGTTCGACTTTATGAGATTTTTTAAGAGCACCGGAACTACAAAATATGACAAATCAATGTATCTCTCTGTCTTTTTGTCGAAAATATCCATGTATTATTGTAGAATGATTGACTAGCCTTCATTCATGCAATCGTATAGTCTGCAAATAACTATTATCTTGTTCATCTTAATTTTTTTCTAATCACTTCCGGTGGCGCAATTTTTACTCGAAAAGCTCGTGCGTAGGCTTCCATTAAATGCTGATTATCTCGAAAACGAGCTCGGGACACCCTATTTTTCTTTCCAGATTTGGAATCAGCATTAAATTTCAATTCGGAAAATCGAAGTTTTAAAAAAAGCTTAAATCAATTTCCAAAAGTAGGCAGTCACCTTAATACTACTACTAATACTACTATCTCTTACCATCTTATTTTCTTCGCGCTCTCGATGCGCGCCACCATTGAATGTAACAGCAAGTGTCGATGAGCACAGCTCAGTATAGTAAGCAGACAAGCCATGATCACCAATGCAGCCTATAGATATGGTGTAGATACTAGTGGTATAGCCGTCACAGTTACAGTCATCGTCTGTCAGTCCTCCATTACCAGTAGCCCACACGTAGATGTTCCCCCTACCACCACGACCCTAAGGGATGGTAAAGAGAATTGCGTCATCGGGATAAACCGGTCACACCAGTTATGACGAGTTTTAATATATATAACGGCTTTGTTGTCTGCGTCGTATGGTTGATGCCCCTGGTGTTGGTTGCCCGCCACCGGAAATTAAGGGTGTATGTAGTGGTAGTGCACTAGCCTCTCCACCTCTGGGGTCGGCATTACATGCAAGAAGAGTTTGTTTTCTCCGGTTTTGCTCCCTCCTCAAAACCCATCGCTCCAATTCACTGTGAGTTAGCCATGCCCTGACTTGGATCAGCCCAGAGGTTGTTTCAGGGTTTAATCTGTGAGTTTAGCCGTACCCTGACTTAGATCAGCCCAGTTGTTGTTTTAGGGTTTGTTCTGTGAGTTAGCCATGTCCTGACTAAGATCAGCCCAGAGGTTGTTTCAGGGGTCGAGAAAATTATAAAAGGGCCTGTTTGAGAAAGCCTTCAAAAATTCGCCTATACCTTTTCGGCGCCCATCTTCAAAGCTTTGGCTGCCAGGGGCCCTGGTTTACCAAAGGTCTTGCCATCATCCTTGGGTCCCCAACAGTTACTGTAGACATCGGTGAACTGGTTTGCAAACCCAAGGGAACTTGCTTCTAGAGCATCGGTTGCTTTGCCGTCTAACATCCGAATACCTGAAGGAGAAAATATGTTAATGAATAAATATTCCGGATTCGAAATCCTAAAAACAACACTAGATAGTGAAAATAGGTTGTTCTCTTGTTCAACCATCTGTTCTCCCTTCCCTTCCCTTCCCTTCCCTTCCCTCCCCTTTCCTTTCCTTCACTTCCCTTCTCTTCCCTTCCCTTCTCTCTTCCTTCTCTTCTCAGTGTGCGTGACTTACTTCATCATTACTCTACTTCATGCTTGATCCCCCTTTTCTTTTTTAATTTGCTCAAAACTTCTAGCTATATCCTTTTACCTCTCCTCTCTTCACCATTTCCCTCCCCTCCCCTCCCCTCCCCTTCCCTCAGGCCACTCTTTACTTCCATTCTTTCTTTGATGTAAAATGATCAGTACCAACCTCCTATTTTTGAATTATACGCCACGCCTACACCACATATGCTATTGTTGGCAACAGCAGCAATTTCCCCCGCACAACGAGTTCCATGGCTGAAAAAAAAAGAGAAAACATCACGCGATCATCATGGGGTATATAACTCGGATCATATGGTYTACACGAACTTTGCTTAGTAAATAAAGAAGATAGGACCGCGGAATCAGTCTAGAGAAGAGATGCGCTCAAAATAGACCTCTTTACCTTGGGCGTAAAGCTTTGCCATTTCAGATCACGTGTCATTATCAATGATATAATTTCTTTGTTTGAGTTGTATCCATATTCATGTGTCTTCTCATGTGCGACCGTTAAACAAAGAAATGATACTCTACGTGTTCAGACAAAGGAAAACATCAATAGATCTATTGGACTTGAATTCCCTCAGTGAATTATATTCGAGCAATTTCCTCACCAGTTATCAGGATCAATATCTCTTGGCATCGGGTCTGGGTCATTATCGTTAAAGTCATGACTGGACTTTGGTTCCTAATGCAAGAAAAACATATTTAGATGTTTCCATATTCTGCGCATATATAAAACTATCAATTTTCAAACATTTCCTAAGCTCCGGTTGGCTCTCAAACCTCCATGTACATGAAAGAATGTACCCTGTATAGGGAATTTGTTGTCATTTTCCCGCCTCTGGAATCTCTCCGAATCCTGTCTCGAACTCCTCGTTCACCTTCAGTGAAGAAGAGAGCATCTACCAGGCGAAGATCTATATAGAATACTCTGAAGCCATATGGCATAAGGAATCCGAGTAGACCCTAGCTATTCGGAGTCCACCAAATCCTTACGCCTATTTCTGTCTTAGCGGCCTCCGTCATCCCTCCCCTCCTAATTAGAGCTTTTTGTTTTGCGCTAATTTAATAATTAATATCAATAAATTAAAGAAGAGCCAAACCAAGGTATATATACTTACATAGTTTGGAAATAAATCTGGATGATGATAATCCATCCCTATAGCGTAAAAGGATATATATTAAGGTATTATTATTATATCTTTCCATTTCCTGTGTATAAAACTGGTCGACTTTCAAAGATTTTCTGAGCCCTGGTAGACCCTGTCAGCATGGGTGGCGTAGCGGTAAGAGCGCTCGCCTCTCACCAATGCTCGATTTCCGGACTCGGTGTCGTATGTGAGTAGAGTTGTTTGTTGGCTCTCTCCTGTACTTTGAGGGGTTTTTTCCGGTTCCTTCGAATTTCCTCCCTCCACAAAAATCAACTTCTATATTCCTATTATAATTTAGTAGATGAAGTACTTCTCTGTAGACACCACTTGCTGTTAAAACCTATTTATTTATCTTATAATCGAGTGCCATTGAGCTGCCGGAAATGGCGCTACAAAAACTGGGCGTTTCCATGGTGATCTACTAACCATCATCTAGAACAGACAGAACCACACCCTTGCCTGTGATGCCTTTTCTCCATACAGGCGTAACATTAATGTCTACACCAACTGGCCCTCCCGTCTGACCCGTGTTCATCTGCAATTAATCAAACAACATATCGCTAATAATTTATTTCTTGTTATTCATGCTTTATATGCAATTATCCTCTTTGCTACGATATAGCGTCCGAAACGTCAGTAAGTTTTTTCATCTTTTCACGATGTAAAATTTATCCTTTTATCATTACTGTTTCAGTAAAAACACCGACGCAGCTCACACTAGTTTTTAGCTAGTTATCTCGAGATAGTTTTGGTCAAGGCTCAGTATGATGCATCCTCGGGAACCCAGGGGTAAAATTCTGTCTCTTTTTTCCCGCTCCCAGAATACATAAAACGTCACAACTACCCGCATTGCATATTGGACTAGATGTGACCGCCATATTGGACTAAATTTCGTGTCTTGGCCACAGATATAGTATTGGATATGACAACGTAACTGCCATATTGGATACCGATATGTAACCATGGCTACCACTATTATTTCCGTGACGTCATGGTCGCCGTATTTGTTTGCGTCAGTCATTACCAACACCGAGAAATGTACCTTGGGTTCCAGAGAATTTCTCGCTCCAGTACTTCTCGGTCATAGAATAACGTACATACGACCAAAAATCACTGGAACGAGAGAGACTCTCGAACCCAGGCTACAAGAAATGAGTCGTGCAGTCCAATCAAGCCATCGTCATGTTTTCGGTGCAAGCTATACAGCAAGTATCAGTGGCAGATCCAGGGGTGGTTCCATGTGTTCCATTGAACCCCCCTCTTGTGAAGCATGTTCTTTACGCTCAGTTGAATGAAATTGGAACCCCCTGTTTTRTAATGCCAATCTTACCAGTTTTTCCCGCGTGGCCGCCATTTTGAAACCCCCCTTTTTGAAATCCTGGATCCGCTACTGCATGAGTATACTACTGACACGTTCAAGCAGATCTTCCTTACCAAATACCACATTTCTTTAAACTTTGGGTCGAAAGGCATCCCATCCCGTTTTGTCCTGTGAAGAATCTTCTGTTGTTCTGCCCATCTTACCTTTTCAATGATAAAAACATGACAACCTCGTTAGAAAGGATAAAGTGGGGGTATGAAWAAGAAAATAGGAGACCTTTTACATGCTCTAGTTTGACCCCGTTGAGCTGCGTCGCTACTGTAATTGCGGTGGTGGTTAGCGATGACAAGTTTTTCCCCTTCTATTTAGTGACCCTGAAAAGGAGCGGGAGTCTTAAAATAATAGTCGACTTGCATGTGACGTCAAAGCAACTCAATTTGGAGGAAAAAACTTAAAAATTTCAATCTCCAGGGAATTGGAAACCTATTGTTATGTCCTTCAAATTGAGCTGCATTCCGACGTGCTGTAAGGGATCTGGTGATGGGTTATATATATATGAGAGCCTTTAAATTGGTTGGAAATAAAAAGGGGGTGCCGACAAGACTTGGGCATATACTTTGGGGCATACTAATGAGGGATTGGAGAAAAACGTATCTATTTTCTCAACCATTCCCCTTCCCACTCCGATAAATAATGAACTGTCCCTTACCGAAGTTGAATCATATTCGTTACCTTTTGATCGAGAAGCAGTCGGTCGGTTCTATCCCGATCGTGTTCTTTATTAAACTCTTCTACGTCATCATGACGTAAATGATAATGACCCGGCAAATCTCCAATCTGAAAAAAAAGATCAAAGCTATTACCATCAGATTATTGCCTTGTGTAAAACTCGGAATCTGGAATCCAGTGTTCTAAGGCCTTCAAGGATTTTCTGGATTCCAGATTAATTTCTTAGGATTTCGTGACTCCAAGAGCTAAAAATTTGGTTATTCGGGAATCCATACTTCAAGGGAGATGGTACACATATGCGCATGCGTCAATTGTCATTTCTGCACCAAGGACTTCATTAAATGGGTTTGTAAAACATCGCTGTGTTCTTTGATTACAGACTCATTTACTTAAGGTCAGCCTCAATTTAGCGTCAAAATATCAGTTCACTTATGCCAACGCGTTAACGGTAAAGTAAAGAATACTGGTACACATGAATATTCTACGCAAAATCGGGGCTAACCCTGAGTATCAAAACTTGGGTATTTTTGTTCGTAATTTTTTAAATGATAGATCGTATAGTTATAGTTAATCCTACAATTTAAAGACTTCAATACATCAGAAATTTCACCAARTAGCAAGAACCTACGTGTATCAGATATCACAACGCATGCGTGAGCTCTAACCCTTTTTAAAGGTCAAAAATCCAAAAATGTAGATGCCTTCAAAAATGACCACGATTTTTTWAAATATTATTTGAACGATATCTGGCCTGACAGTAGCGTTTCTTTTCTTTTATATCTGTTTTTTGATAATATGACTGTGTTATCAAAGCAGACTCAGTGTGAATCTTCTTGTTGACCTGAATGCTCTATTGATCCTGAACCAATCGAAGCCAATGGCGCTTCTAATTTAAGGTTCAGAAAAACTCCATGACTATTTTGACTTGAAAATTTTGACTAAAAATATCACGTTTTTGTTGTAAAGACTAATATAAATTTCTTGCTTGTTTGTGGAATAGTTATAATTTCACTGTTTTGTGTTCACTGGCCAAACAAACCGGTCTAAGCTATTCGCTAATTATTTATAGTCTTCTAGTTTTGGTAAGACAGTCCATGCCATTAATCGTCTCTATTTACCACAAAACAAGTTTCTTTAAGTCAACTAACCTTCCCTAAAACAGAAAATCCATGTCGCTTCGCTATATCCAATATGTGTTCTTCGGCTGGGTCCTCTAACTCAACTGCCCAAGTGTTGGTAAAATAGCCTTCTTTCGTTACCAGTTTTCGCTTCCATTCTCTTGACACATTCCTATATCCATCGTATGCTTGATGATTAGTCGCTAAAGAACACCTAAATAATACTAAACCAAGTAAAATATAACTTAATTTTATCGATAATATTCGAAAATCCATATTTTTTCAAAGTCCAGTGTGAATTTCCTTGGACTTTGAGGGGAAAAGAACGCTTGGATGACGTTAGGAAAGAATTATCCAATTGGCTATCTGAAGTGACAGGTTTGTTACTGGTACATCTAATGAAAACTTTCATATTTACGGGTGGGCATACAGATATGCTACACAGGAAACCCATGTAATTAACGGGGACGTCGACCATTTTGTACGATTTGAGTAATATTTCTTTATTAGGAAACATCAAGCCCACGTGATCCGCGCGTTACTACCCCCATTCTTAGCTAGCAAAAAATGACAATGCGTAAAGATTTATGAGAATTCATTCAAGTTTCTTGTAATTGTCGTTTAGTTATTGTGTCTCGGAAACGAAATTTGGAATTCGTGTTATTATTTTGATTTTTTTTTTCACCATTCGAATCCAAAATGACCGAAGTAATCACGTGACCTATGCTCGGTTTTACAGTAGTGGATCCGGAGTGCGCATGCTCGAGGGTCGAAAAGTAAGGGGGATATAATAAGGATCCAGTCCAGTTTTCAATGTTTTTTCTTAGATTTTCACTTGCTGTCAGACACGAGAGAAACTTTGTTATTTTCCAAAACTTTTTTTTTCTAAGTTTCAAAAAACAAGATAGAGTTGAAAAATGCAAGGTGTGCTTGAAAAATAAGATACTAAGTGCTGGCCCTTGTGTTACAGTTTTCGTTGGTATTTTCATTATGAGCTATAAATAGATAAAAAGTAATAATAAATTAATAAAACGAGAGGTYGCGAAATGAATGAATAAAGTTCTTATATAAAATTTTGATGGCCGCTGATACAACGACGGTGGGCTCAGATTCAAAGTGACGTCATAACATTAGTACAGTTCGTATTTTCATCTATTTTCATTGCAATTCCTGCTACAAATTTAACATTTTTGGGCTTTAATCTTCCCTAGCGGTTATATAGGCAGTATGTTTAGCTGGCTGGGTTATGGAGAGGGCCAGCAGTCAAAGCAGGAGCAGAAAAAAGACGACATTGAAGCTAAAAATGACGAGGAATCGAAGAAAGATGACGACGAAGTGAGCAAGGAGAAGAACGAAGCAGTCGAGACAAAACCACAAGAATCAGAATCTAAAGACGATGGCAGCCAAAGTAGTGCTTCTAATCTACAGCAAGACCTTGATTATGCTAAAGACATGGCTAAAAACGTTGGAAGTAAGAGAAGAAACCATATTTTTTAAATAATATTATGACAAAAAATTTGTATTTTTATGTCGTATTTTTTATTTGTTTTGTTAAATATTTTTACTTTGGGAGAATGAATGCTGCAATTATTCTGCTGTACTTTATTTACGAAGTTGATAAAAAGTAGGACTATGATCTCTTTCAATGCTACTTTGTAAATTATTTTCAGAGCATTTTGCAGTTCAAAAGAAAACTCTTTTCCTCTTCCCTCTGAGGTGGATTAATTTGTCTGCACGGCTTCCCCCTGGCCCTCCCCTCCCTTCATCAAGATGAAGAAGACTTTCTTCAGAACCTCCCTACACCTTTGATTTTCCAATGCCTAGTGTGAGGGACATGAAAGATTATTTAAAAATTATAAAAATATTGCAATGGAGGCTTTGCTCATTCAACAATGCCTGTAAAATGTTTGAAATGCAGATTTTCTAAAAACTACTATAGTCTGAATGGATTGTCAGTGTATTATAGGGATGCACAGCTGTTCTCCATCATTGGAGGGGGCTTATGACTATGGCTTATAGCCAGAAGGAAATTTCTGCTAGCAGTTGGGTGGACTTATAATTGTGAGGTGTGTTATAACCGAGATTCTACAGTACACTATATATTACCCTCCTACATACCCTGTGCACCTACACATTTATAGACTGGAATAAAGCTATCCTTTTGTACTCAAGGTTTTCTGTTCAGCATGGCAAGTGCTGCTTCTACAACTGCACTAATGGTGAAAGATACAGTTGAGAAAAAGGTAATGACACTAGTAATATTTAATCAAATCCAACTAGTGGTCTATCTTCAATGCTGCATTCTGATTGGATGAGCTATATAAGATATATCCTAGTAGCAAAAAATGCCGGCTTTGAAAACCAAAACATTAAATTCAACTTTAATTGTTTGCGATCTATATACATGTATCTGATTGACTAGTTGGATTTGACTAAAACAATTAGTCCTCTCGCTCTTATAGCCTATGAGTCAATAGCCCATTTGAGCTCGAGGACCGATTGCTACATATTTGAACATCTCAGTTTGATTAGTTAGTTGGGTACCAGTCTGATGTGAGGAAGATGGGGAGTTCAAACCTCTTGCCTTTGCTCTAAAAATATCTGCAAAATTAGTGGTCAGACCTTCGCAGTGGCACAGCTGACCACACATAATGACGATCATGTCTCACTTAGAGACATTAAACACAGAGGGCCACAAGTTTTTTKATCAGTGTTAAGTTGGCAACTGTCACCCTCTCTAAATAAAGTCTATCATCATCATCGTCGTCTTTCATCATCATCRTTATCATTATCAGTTATTTATATTATAACAATTATAACAATTAATTTACTTTTTTCCCAATGAATTTTATGTGGGCATAAATTATTATTATTATTATTATTATTATTATACTATTGATAGATTTTTTGCTATAATATGATTTTTTAAGACTATCCTTGGAGATTTCATAAAGGAACAAGAAAAGTTTGTCAAAGAAAAGCACAAGAGATCAGGTACTTAATTAATGCAGATTTCATACTAGGTATATATTGGTGAAAATCCGAGTCACTGATAGGAATCCAACCCATGACCTAGCTTTGGAATATGGGTTAGATACTGTAATGAATAATACCTCTAACAATGAAATGACTGGTTATCATGAGTCTTACCCTTAGCTTAATGGTTAGAGCATCCAACTGGTATCTGGAAGGTCATGGGTTGAATTCCTATCAGGGACTTTGATTTCCCCAATTCCTTTCTGCTAGTGACAAATGATAAATTATTTTTATACTTATTTTCTTAGCAAATTATAAATAAATTTCATTGACTTTAATTTTTTGGTTACATTAAAGCCTCGGCCCTGGCTACTTTTACCACTGACTTTTCAATGCTACACACTGATCGAGACAACAGTCGCAAAGGGACATAGGGCAATACACTGCCACCAATCAGAGAATATAAAAGTACTGACCAATTTATTTGATTGACAAAAATGATAATATGTGGACTGCGTAGCACTTATAAAATACAAGATATAGAAATGTAAATAAGTTATAGTGCTTGGGAATGAGGTTATTCCGGGCAAAAGACCCTTGGAAATAAATTCGGAAAAATTAATTTTCAAACCCAGCGAGGTCGGAAATCAATTTTTCTGAATTTATTTCCAAGGGTCTTTCGCCCGCAATAACCTCGTTCCCAAGCACTATAACTTATCTATATTTATATATTTGATTGACAGAAGTGTATTGACCAATTTCCCTGTCACAACTGTTGTCTCAATCAGCGTGTAGCAATAAAAAGAGTGGTAACATTGTATTTATAAATGAATGAATGCTAAGCAATGCATTTGTGCTATACTTGTTTTAAGGAAAACAAGAGTATATTATTATTAATTTTAATATTTTCTGTTAAAATTACTTTAGAAACTGCTGTTCCACCATGGGTTGGTTACAATGAGGAAGCTTCAATGAAATCACAGATTTTGGCTCTATCCACTGTATGTATTCATGAGAAATTTGATTCCTTGAATGTAAAGAGTTGTTAGTTTGCAGTAAGTCATTCCCTATTCCACATATACATATATTCCATTATCACTCCTGACCAATRGAAGATCCTTCAGAGACAAGAGGACGACATATGGTCACAGGTTAAATTCCTGCAGAAATCACATCTGAACAGAGCTTGTTTGAAGTAACTATTTTTCTCCCCCTTGCCACAAGGGTTTCTCTGGGTACTCTCGGTGGTTTTCCTCCCTCCACAAAAATTAATTTAGCAATACGTGAGATGAAAGTTGTGTGCTAAGGACATTAAAACTAAAAAAGTACTGGTAGTGGAAGTGGGCATGGAGTGTGTTGCATATACTGTAACAATGTCTCAGCAACAACTCCCCTATATCAAAATATACGTATATTTTTAATATTTCTATATAAGCATGATCTTTGATTATACCTAATGAGCAGTATTTGTTTCCATCCATTTTATAAAAARAGATGCACCATTTGTTGAGTATAAAAAGGTGTTTTTCAGGATGAAAGGAACTTTCTTCGTGATCCTCCATCAGGAGTGCAGTTCCACTATGACAACGATAGCATGTTCCCTGTTGCCTTGGCAACCCTAGAAGAAGATGAAAACCTACAACAAATGAGATTCAACCTTGTACCTAAAAAGTATGTCCAACATTTTAAATTATTAATAGATAGACCTATCCTGGCTATGCTTGAGTGTCCACTCAAACAATGGGTAGTTTACCCATTGGAATATAGTTTGTCCGACCAACAGACTCGAATTCATGATTTTTTTTAGTAGCTATCAATTTTTTCTTAATGTACCTTAAAGCCCTGTTTACACTAGCGATTTTTGCGGTGATTTTTGCTGTGATTTTTTTGCTATTTTGTCCATAATAAATAATGGTAAAGAATTTACTTGTAAAGTTTTTTTCAGGATACCAAGATTTTCCTAGACGAATGTCTCTTTTGAAAGATGAGACCAAAGATTTCATATTTCCGAAAATTGCCACAAAAATCGCCGCAAAAATCGCCAGTGTCAACAGGGCTTTAGAATGCTTCTAAGACAGACATTAGAAATTTTCAGCAATTAGTGCAGTTTCTTCCATGCTGTATATCAAAGACGCATTTTAGCTTGTCCGACATAGCAACAGTAACTAGGGAGGTTGGACAATGAATACAGAATCAGTGTATTATCAGGGTTATGGGTATTTTCTACAGCTACCCAAACAAACAAGTAAGAAACTACCAATACTCGATTCTTATGGGATATGATGCTATAGAGGCTTTGCATCATCACGTGATGGCAGCCATGTATGACAGAAGGCAGGAACAATTAAATCTGGTCTAATCTGATTTACACGAGAAAGAATTCAGTGATGACGTGATGGTGCAAAGCCTCTATAGTCAAGATCTGTTAATGACAGGTTAATGACAGTTTAGCAGGGAATCAAGGGTGGTGTGGCATAGGCCTTTTCTGAGTTCGATAAACAGGACGCATTGTGGTCTAAGTTCGATACAAACAACATTATATAAGGCATGATGRAGAAAAGATATTTGTTTCCAAGCTAGACCAGAATGCACCATAATCGTTATCTCAGAAAAGGTCTATTAGGGCACTTGTGTTTGATTGCTGAACTAAGCATCACATGTGAATGGAGTTTTTTTGGTATCTCCCTTGATTTGAGAGTTTTCTCTGGGTTCTGTGATTTCCCTATCTCCACAAATTCCAATGCACTAAATTCCAATTCAATCTGTGAGTTTGCTGAGTGCTCTAACTTAGGTCATCCCAGAGGTTGTTTAAGGATTTATGTGAGGTAGCTGTGCCCTGACTTAGATCAACTCAAAAGATATTTCAAAGCTCAAAGAGTTGTTAGTACAAAGCTCTGATTGAACAAAATATATACTCTATGCTTCAGGGATTTATGTGAGTTAGCTGTGCCCTGACTTAGGTCAACTCAAAAGATATTTCAAAGCTCGAAGAGTTGTTAGTACAAAGCTCTGATTGAACAAATATATACTCTATACTTCAGGGTTAAAGAAGAGAGGTTCTGGAGGAACTATTTCTATAGGGTGTCACTGATTAAACAATCAACTCAGCTAACATCATTAGCTTCCGGTGGTGCGGAAAAACCTGCCACCCAGGCTGAAACCACTGAAGGACAAGCAGAAACAGGTAGGTACCATGATGATGGTTTATGATGATGTTGATGATGATGATTGATGATGGTGATGATGATAACAGGATGGATAGTGATGGTGACAACAATGGTAAGGATGGATAAATGATGCTGTTTGTGATGACAAATTAACTTGATGATGATGATGATTGATGATGATTGATATATCATGTCCATAATGATGGATAAAGTTGATGATGATGATAACAGGATGGATAGTAATGGTGACAACGATGGTAAGGATGGATAAATGATGCTGTTGGTGATGACAAATTAACTTGATGATGATGATGATTGATGATGATGATGATTGATGATGATGATGATATCATTTCCACGATGATGGATAAAGTTGATGATGATGATAACAGGATGGATAGTTATGGTGACAATGATAGTAAGGATGTTGATCGTGATGACAAACTAAATTGATGATGGTGAAAATGTTGGTAATGATGATTGTGATGATGGTGGTGACGAAAAATAAAATTGATGATTATGATTATGATCATGATGGTGCTGTGGTGCTGGTGATAAAATGATGATGATGACAAATTAAATTAATGATGATAATGATTGAGCCATTGAAGTGCCATTGATATCAATTGTTTTTAATTATTGTTTATTTATCATGATCCCTGTCATTACGTTTATAATTAAAATTAAAAGTGTTGTTTAGCTAACACTTTCATTCTTCGATACATCTAGACTCTTCGCCAAGTGCTCCAAAACCCATTCCTGCTGTCATTGACAAGGTAACGGGCTATTCCTGCAAAAATGTAGACAATTAGAATTAAATATGCTTACATAATGTCATCTAAGTGCTGTGGCTCCAGGAAATATCAATATACCTTGACCTTGAAGGAGGTTTGGAATTTCCAAATAGGGGTGGGGAGGATCTTAGGAGGTTATATTGTGTAGTTCAAGAAAATATCCATACCTCCCTCACAGAGGGGAATTGGAATTTCCAAGGGGTGGGGAGGGTCTGAGGAGGGTATATTGTGTAGTTTCAGAAAATATCCATACCTCCCCAAAGGATTGGAATTTCCAAGGAGTGGGGAGGGTCTGAAGAGGGTATATTGAGTACCAGTTGTTCCAGAAAATATCAGTTTTCCTATAGCTTCCTCAATTATTTTCAGTGGTTAGGGAGGTTAAATTCAGTTATTCAGTTATATGCAGTTTCATGCAGTTCCAGAAAATATCCATACCCCTCCCATAGGGGGGATTGGTATTTCCAAGGGATGAGTGGGTAGGGGAGGGGGTTCAATTTATGATGCTTCCTTAAACTACAGACTTCTGGTAAAATTTTAAAAAGAGCAATCCATTCTTATTTTCATTTTTTTTAGTGCCGATAGTTTTTAGGTTTTATTTCTGCCTAGATGTACAGTATGATCACGGGGGGGGTTCTTTTTTGCAAGTACTGGAACAGATTTTTTTATATATAACAGGGTGTGAATATCAGGGCTCAGTGGAACATCCCTATTCTTAACGGGCAAGAGTACCCCCAGGGTTTATGACAGTTGTAGAGTGGTGAATTAATTGTAATCCACTGATGAGATAGAGCTCCAATAGTTCTTAATGATTATCACACATGGTAACAGCCTTTAGTTAATGTTTCTTTTTTATACAGGATCATATTGACGACATTCCTGACAGCCCAACTCAACATGAATTCATTAGTGATGACTTCGTACATCAAGAAGCCCAACACGGTAAAGCATAAGTGTCATTTTCATGCTGGTTTAATAGACCCTTTTYGAGTTCCAAATTACCGCTGTGTTCCTCATTTACTCAGGCTTAGCCTCGATTTTGTGTAGAATTTTCAYATGTCTCAGTCAAGGTCCGTCGAATTTCAAAATGTTTGTATTGTTGAAGTTGCGCATTCTTTACTTTAACATTGAAATTTGTGAATACTTAAATGCTGATGCGAGGCTAAGCCTGAGTAAATGATAGTCTGTAATCAAGGAACACAGTGGTAATTTGGAACTCAAAAAGGGTCTATTGTATACATACTTACCTCACTATGTTCATTCTGGCTGGACAACAACTGTGCTGTATAACTTAATAGAGCATGGGAAAGGTGTTCTATTTCTTAAATTAAATGATCTGGGTTAGAGCAGTTTAACACTGAAATGGCTTTCATAAGAATGGTTATCATATGAATATCATATGAATAGAAAACATGATAGTGACTTGTTTTCTTTTGCTTTATCAAATCACAACCACAATATTATTACATCATGAATTAAGCTGATTTCTTCTGAGTCTTTCAATTTGCTGCTGCATAAGTTGCTTGATATACTGAGAGGATCAGCTCAAATTGATACATTACAACAGCATACAAGTATATAGTTTATATATATTCTCATATAAATATTATTACAGTTAATATGTAAAGATAAATATTATGGCACAGCTACAACATTGGTAAAAATTAASCCCCCCACCCCTAAAACTGCTCTATCAACAAGACAAGACTGGGTGTTGGGTAACTTGTAGAAGTCTGGTTTTTGACTTCTCTCAAACAAAGCATTGCCATTAAACTTAGACCAATGTAGGTTAGTTAAATGTAATCCTACACACTGGAAAACATGCTGTAGGTGTAAACAAACTAGCCCTCGTACAGCCCGACTTTAACTCTGGTTAATATGTTTGTACTTAGCCATAATAGCGTTCGGCTACATGCAGCCTATTCCACACAGGAAAAAGTGTTATGTCAGGAGTTGTCTTGGTTACAGACCAAAACACCTAAAAATATTTCATTAAGATTTTGGTATTTTTAGAATTGAGTCATGAAGACCTGCAGCAAATTGGAGTAGACCGAAAAGCAATGGCTGCCGAGAGTGATTCTAAAACCAAGAAAAAACTTGATCCAAGTAAGTAAATACTCTTTTTTTCCTCACATATGTGCTCTATACTATCAATAGCTAATTGCATTATATAATGGTGGTTGYATTGGTAATGGCACTGGGCCGCATCTGTGAGAGGCAAGCTTGCGCTCTCACCACTATGACACCCATGCTTCATTTTAATGTAAATATATGCATGGGAAGACATTTTGAAACTACTAGGTCCATACAGCTGCTCATTTAATAAAAGGTATTTGCTTAATAAAGGGACTGATTAATAGAGGTATTATATTGATTGCCTTTTTTTTACTTTTCAATTCATTTTATAGACCATTTTAGAGTTTGTAGATATTGCTGCTATTTTAATTTTAAAAAAATCTATTTCAGAAATCGTTGTCGCACCAAAAGCCTCAAGCAACAAGCCAAGACCTTAGAGAATGCCGGTAGTTTTAGCTGTAATTAGTTTATTTATGGTGCATTTTCATTTATTGACTTCATGAATTGCTTCAGGCAAGGCTGCTTGAGATGACAATAATTAGTGGAGAGCTATAGTCACTTGCATGGACCATGAATAAATCAATTATAATTAAAAGTACCGACGTTCTCTGGAGCCTTGGCTTGTTACTTGAGGCTCTTGGTGTGACAACGATTTTCGAAATGCTGAGGTGTATACAAAAAAAAAACCATGTAATTTATGTAAACATCTAGAGGGTAACACCTAGTGTTCCCCTCCTAAATTGTAAATAATAATAATAAATAAATAAATTTAAAAAAAGGTGTATACAATACACAGAGAAGCTGTCAGTCACAATACTGTCAGAAAAGCACAAAAATAGTTATTTGAGTCTTTAACAAGTTTAATTTATTTCTGAAATGACAGAACTGCCTCCTGAAGAAGATGACATCCCAGAATGGGAGAAGGAGTTACAACAAGAACTGCAGGTGAGTTTTTTTATATCATACCAATGAATGATTACATCATGGAAACTTCCTCTTAGTTTCCCCATACCCACCCCCCACAGATTGAGGATGTGTATTTTTCTTCCTACCCACTCCTCCCATGTTTTTTGACTTTCTGCACCCATTCTCTAGGCAATGTGCATTTTTAAGATGTGTCTGCTAGTAAGGCACTTTATTCACACCAAGTTTGCTGGATCACAAATAATATATATCAAGACATAGAATGGTATTCACCTTTTTCCATACATCGGTTCGCTAGTCAAACTCATAGTGCTCAAGTGAGGCACCAAGGTACTTTCAAAGGATTATTGAAATTTGAACCTTTCAACCTTGACTGAATGCTTTGTGTTTGACCAGTGAACTGATGTTTGTAAAATGGTGAATTAGGTTACCTGAGATTTACAACTAATCAAAGTCAAATAGCCTATTTACAAAAATAGCATCAAGCAAAGTTAACTGGGAAATGGTACGGCCATTGTTGTAATAATATGCAACAGCTCAGTCGTGTGGATTGATCTGCCTGTGCTTTTGCTTGCTCTTCCATTGTGCATTACACATTGCTAGTTCTGGCTAGTTCTCATTGTGGAGGATTTTGTGTCATTGCCTCTCATTTTCCCTGTTGCTTTTGCTAAGTAGGTCACGTTAGATATCTTTAAATTTAGATTTGATTGAGAGGCTTTAGTAGCATAGTACTTCATGTATGGTACAAACAGGTGGATCACCAAATACATTTATTGGTAGGAATAAAAGAATGTAACATACACAATGTTCCTACCTTTTGGCAATAAGAAACTTTTGGTAAAATTCTAGTCAGTTCACTACTCGACAACGTCCTAACCGAATCTACAGCACTTAAACTTAGTTCGATCCTTTCTATGTTTAATGCAATTTTAAACATTTTATTCTGGAGAGCCTTGGGGCACTTGGATGAAAATCGATGAAAATTGGAAATGACTCCAAACTTGGTTAAACTTGGTATAATATGGCCCCAATATAGTAGCTGAGCAACATTTCCTCACAGTAAAAACTGGCAGATAAAAATTATCAATTTTATTCAGCATCAAAATTGTGAGTAAATGACACCATTTATTCACCCTATTGTTCTTTTCACTTTTAGACCAAAATTTCTCAACTGCAAGTGGCTCCCAGTCTAAACTTTTAACTAAAAAACTGATTTTCATAATTATAATTGAGGCATATTATCCTCAAATATTAATTTCAATTATTCAGACTTTCAAAAATTGGGGCGTTTCCATCCAAATTGTCCCTTTCCCGCCCAAAATTTTTTCATCCTGAGTTTTCAAAAATTAAAAATTTGGGCCTTGCTCTCCTAGGACTACGAAGTTGTTGATGAAGGAGACAATGGAGAATGGGAAAAAGAGATAGAAGATCTCTTAGAAGCAGAAAGCTGAGGTGAAAAGTTTATTTCAATATATACTATTGAACAGGAATGATATTACAGAATATTATTTGGTAACATTAAATTGATAACATCTTACAGCACACCCCACAGAATTGACGATATTCTTTGAACCCATCACAGCATATGAAATCAGTTGCCTATCAGATTGTATTGCTCAGGCATGCACTTTCATGGTTGCAACATGGTATGGCACATCTGTATGAGTTATATTCAGTGATAGAAAGATTACTTTATGAAAAAGAGTTTTTAACAGTCAACAGGCAACAACAGTACAAATATTATGAATATACGGTGTGACAGTAATATAATAAATTTACATTCAGTATTAAAAAGTATGTAAAATAATTATTGTAACAGGTTTATAAATCTCACTTTCTTGATTGCTGGAGTACTTTATGATAACACAGCGTTTGCTCACGCTTTCCATCAGCCATACACCCTTCTCATAATGGCTGACAAGTGCACGAAAACGAAGTCACCCAGTCATTATTTCACGATAACTGCTGTAACCGGGGCCACTTGGATGAGTTAGACAAGAGAACCAATAGACCCCTTGCATGTGACGTCAAAGCAGCTCAATTGGGAGGACAAAACAAAATAATTTCAATCTCAAGAAAATTGGAAACCTATATGTTATGTCCTCCAAATTGAGCTGCATTCCGATGTGCTGCAAGGGGTCAATTGAAATGTAGGATGAAAACATTGCAATTTTGGTTAGTGGAGACAATCATAAACCTAGACTGCACGAGAATAGTTAATTTGACCCTGATGTTACGTATAAATAACTAGATAGCCATCRTCATTTTCGTGTGAATAAAAAAATAAGTTGAAAGGCTAATGTTTCTGCTGTTTTCTGATTGGCTGCACTACCCAAAGTTGGAATGTATAGTTTTTTTTCAACAATTTGATTGGTTCTTGCTGTCTGGGTGACCCCTTTTATAGTTGTTGCACTGTAAGAAGCACTCTGGTGAAGAAGCACTCTGGTGAAGAAGCACTCTGGTGAAGAAGCACTCTGGTGAAGAAGCACTCTGGTGAAGAAGCACTCTGGTACTTCGCTCTCCTAACTTGGCTCACATTTTGCCAGTCATAGCCATAAGGTTATAATTTTGGGCTATAGTGAATATTTTGGACGCAAACTCAAAATTAAAAAAATCAATCACCCATCGAAAGCTAACATTGGATTGTTTTTGAGAAGGAGACTTCAATAGCAGATATTAGAGTCGCACCCAATAGAAACCATCATGTGATGGTAGCAATGGCAGGAGGTAGAAACGACTGAACCTATCTAATCTGGTTTACATTAGAAAGAACATGTTTTCCAGTCATTGGAAAAGACAATATTGTGTTTCCTGTCATGGCTGCCATCGTGTGATGGTGCAATGCCTTTACACATTATAAATATCATTAGTATGGGTAATTTTATGGGGCTAAATAAAATTTAAAAGGGTTCAGTCGTGAAGGTTTTTTAAACAATCCCTGGAGGACGAGGGGCTGACCTTATTTTGATTATTACTCGCTAATCATACCTATTTCAAAAAAGGTTGACAAAGCCAAAGGCAATAAGCATTAGACCGGTTTTTTTTAGTAAAAAACCACTGTGTTCTTTGAACACCGACTCATTTATGTGGGCTTAGGCTCAAATCAGTGTCTAAATATTCACAAATACCAATGGTAAAGTAAAGAATGCACAACTTCAACAATAAAAACACTTTGAAATTCCATGATTCTTCAAACTGGAATGTATGAATATCCACAACTATTCCATAAAGAATCAAGGCTTAACCCAGTACAACATAGAATTTGAAACTGGAGTATAAGCAATAGGAGATATGTCATTCCAAGATCCAAGAATAGCTGGAATAATAATTGCTGTTTCACATTATTCTTATTAAGAACACACACGGATGGTTGTTGAGATATTTAGCGTTGTTGATTTTGACAAAACCATTTACTGTGATTTTCACAAACATATGAACTCTGTCTTCGAGCTGGCATGCTGAAGTTTTTTTTTCCTGCTGTCAATCAAACCTAATCAGTCRGTACCTTTCATATTTTTGACTGGCGACAGCAAAAAAATACATTTCATTTTGCAACTTGGAGAAACAGAGTTCATATGTTTAAGAAAATTGCAGTAAAGCACCTTCATCATTCATGTCCTCGGTTTATTTCCTTCTTGGAATGACTTTTTGCCTATCTCTGTTGCCTCAGAAAACCAGTTTTTTAATTAGGCATAAACAACTTGGTTTCACGGGCAAAATAAACAACACCATTTTACAAATGAGAAAAGGGAGTGTTCAAGATTTAAAAAAGTAGAAGTTTAGTATTTTAACAGCATTTATTTGTAAATAAACTGTGATTGGATATTTTCTTGCTTTTCATTATATTCACTTTTTCCAAACTTGCACAATCCTGAACATTAAGTAAAAGCTGCTGGTACAAATAATAATTTATATTGTGTTGATGAAAGACTAAATTCTCATTTGTCAGATTAAAGAAATGACTGAATAATGTTGGGAGAATTTAGATACCTTCTACAGCTACTGCTTAATATTTTGATGTCATTAAATAAGCGAGAGAAAGAGCTGTGTAACTTGGTTCAAATATGGAAGGAATCTGATAGCACGGAAAATCTTTCTAAACAAGCATGGATTTACTACAGGATTGCAATTTTATCTGCAAATACTGTACATCTAAATACTAAACTTTGAGGTTGTTTCTGATTATCTTTGAGGTATGTATTAGACACAACAGCACTGGTACTTATGCAAGAAAGAAATAGGTATGATAGCACGTAGCAACATTTGTCAATCAGGTAACACAAAAATGCTCATCAATTTAACAATGGCTCAATGACCACTTTCACTCCTACTCTATATCTCGTCAAATCTTTCTAAATTTCATTCATTCATTTGTTCATTCAAAACTGTGAAAATCATTGAAGCTAGAAGCATGTTTTTTAAAGTCAATTTCAAAAAGCACAATTCTAGTGAAAAACTTAAAATTCATGTCATAGGGGCTGGAAGTTACAATTACTAAAATGAAAGTATAACAAGATAGACACATTTTGTTCCTTAGAGGAAGAAAACTCTACAATGCCTCTTACTATTAGTGATTCTTTGCTGATATGATTCTTTACTGATCCAAGGCTATAAATTATAGAGCGGCTGGATTTATTTGAAAAGCCTTGAAACAGCTGATACATGTATGTGAATATCATTATTTTATACTTTGATGTCATCACAAAAGCAATGAAATTCAGCTCCAACGCGTCCTTTGTCTGACCAGTTCACTTGCTCCATAAACATTTGAATATTCTGGTAGACTGTAATAATAAATGCTTTCTCATATATTCTCTGGTTATTACCGCCCAGGAGACAATGTCTCGAACGAAGATAAAGGTTTTATACAATGGTATCCAGAAACGCCGCAATGAGGGCATTTTAGAGCTTGAGAGTACTCCGAGAAGAACTGAAAAGAGCTCTCCTGTTCTAGATTAACTACTGGCTTTGCGCAATTCTGACAAGCGACTCTATTTTGACAGCACGGCGAAGCAGCAAATATATCATACGTGTAGAGAGTTCCAAGTTGATGTGTGGAGCCATCCCATCGTTTATTACAGAGTTTACACCTGATAGTGTTTGGCGTCCCTTCTAAGCATTGCATACAGACTGCTGTTAAATACTGCGTCTTTCCTTTTTGTTGAGATACATCGATGCAACATGGAGCTAATTCTCGTGGAGTTAGGAAAAATGTCCCGTCAAGAAGAGGGTATTTGTCAAAGACACTTAGCTCTCGACTGCAAAGAACACAGTGAACAGAGGATAATAAACGGGAAGACAGGCTTGAGAGGACAAACGGTCGAGCATCGTCCACTCCCTCGTCCTCCATTTTGATGTGGTAGGGGTTCACTTTGTGTTTTGGTAGAACGGCTAGGAACGAGCCGAGATCCAACCTTTTCAAAAAATTGAAAGATAAACTCCCATTTGTGGTGGGTCGGTTGATGGGTTCAATGTTATCCAAGCTTGGAAAGGATTCCCCAAAGAAGTGTTCTTGGGATTTCGTTTTCTTGGTCGGAGTTCTGACGGGAGGGGAGATAGGTGAATATTCAGGAGGTGACTGACTGCACACAGACGACTGAGAACTCCTTCGTGGCCTACTTCCACACCCTATAGTCGGTTTATCGTTAGATTTCTTCTTCTTTCGTTTCACTACTTTTCCTCCCTGAGCTTGGGCATCGTTCGGTGATGGAGGAACGAAATCTAAATCCTTTTTTAAATGCCCTTTTCCGCAGCCACACGCACAACATTTGAAAGCGAGATCATAACCCTTTTTTGTCCATATATTTTGGCGTCTCTGTTTTTCTGACCAACTTCGCGCTCGCCCAGTGCCTCGTAAATACGTTAGAATTTCATCTTCAAAAGCTTCGAAGCATTCTGAGTGCATATAGGTTCCAAGCGTGCAGGCATCGTTATTGCATATCACACGCACAGCCCTGCACAGTTCCACGGAAGTGTTAAGGGTGCAGCCTTTTGGGTAACAACATCGTATATTCTCATCAATTTCTTCTAAATCCTCGTGGTCCTCCGAATGAGCATCGCCATTCATCGTTGGCTTGGTCTTCTGCTTATGTCCTTTAGAGTGTGGCATGATTTCCAATGAGAATTTTACCGCCTACAGGTATTAGATCACAGCTTCTTTTAGCCCAACTGCACTCGATAGAAGAGTTGATTCGAGTCGCTCACTTGTATTTACTATCAATATGTACGCATGACTAATATAAGGGGGAGGGGCGACTGTCAACAGCTGATCCATGAGCACTTTCTTTTGTTCTTAATTTTGTCGAAAATTATTTTTCCAAACTTGTACTTTCTTTTTCGCATTTTATTTTCCCCCTAAAAGCCCAGCCCTGTTGGGCTAATCAGTCAATAATTCGAGGATGCATTTAGAGAAATTTTTTTGTTGGGATAGATTTTTTTGCTCGCGGTTTTGGGGATTCGAATGAGTGGGTTTTGTCAAAATTATTCCAACCTTTTTTGATGGATAGAACTTCTGACGTGGCGCTCAAAACACTGCTTCTTGTATAATGACAAAAGACAAAAGATACAATAAAAACCATTGGGAATGCTTGATAAATCTCTATCATCAGGACTGTATTTATTGAAACGAACTTTAGTGAATACGAAAGAAAAAAAAGTCTAGAGTCGAAAAAACCATGAAATTCTATCAACTAAGGCGGGTAAAAAGTCTTCCCCGAAATTATAGGACGTTGCCAATTTCTCAAACACCTGTTGAAATTTAGAGAATAATTAGTATTCAACTATGTTAAAACATGCCATATCAGGTGATGGATGTAGTGATAAAAGCACTAGTTTTTAATTTAATACCCAAAAATTCTTGAAAAGTAAATTTTCACAGAAACTATATACAATTTTTATTGATTTTTTACTTTTTTTTTTAACTATTTACATGATATTCGAAGACTGAAAATGAAAAAAAAAATTACTGGAGTTTATTTTTGAAGCGGGTAGATTCTCTGAAAAGGAAACGACTCCAATTAACTTATCTTAAAATATAGTTTCTTAATATATTCATATATATTTTAGGAACGAAATTTCCATTAATTGCCCTAACTAAATAATGATGAAACATGTTTTGTCTTTTCACGGAAAGAAAAGTATGGAAATGGAAGGGACATAGAATGGAATAAGATGAAAAGAAATGCATGGAATAGAATAGAATGGAACGGAAAGAAATAAAAATAGAATAGAATGAAATAAAGTGGAAATAACATGGAAATAGATAATAGAATGGTAGCCGTAGAGATGTAAATAGAATGGAATGGAAAGAAATGCGAAATAGGGCAAAATGAAAAGGAACGGAAGGAAAGAGAGTAAAATAAAATAGAAGGAAACACGATAAAAAATAAAGTAAAAAAACAAAAACGAAACGAAACGAAATAAAGCAATATATCATTACATATTTGTCGCCTGGAAGGAGGAATTTCGTTTCGACATCAAACCAATCTCACGTGACCATTTGGAGCTCTCCGGTGGTCGCATGAGTTCGCCGGGGTTCGGAGCACGATTCAGCGTTAGTTTGCGGTGCTAACAGGTGAGTGAATTCGGTAGTATTCTACATTTTCAGTTTCATTTTTGATAAATATTAAGACCCAAACCCCCCACCCCCAACCCCACCCACCCACCCTCACTAGTGGGTGTCTAAATTAGTGGTATTGGGATCCCTGTTGTAATAGCCCAGAAGTCAGTTCGTGCCCAACAAGAAGGTGTAGTCAAGAAGAAATATCCAAGATGGCGCTTCACGTACCCAAGTCATCTATGCAGCACATGCTGAAAGAAGGAGCCAAGGTAATTCCATTCAACCCTACTAGAAATTTACCTTACCCTATCATGCTGCTATCTCACTACTCAATTCTGTGAAAACTATCTTACAAAATAGTCAAACTGTCAGCATTACCTTGGTTGACAGAAGCCGGCACGTGGTGTCATGTTGAAAAATTTCGCTTAAATTTTCAACAAACGTAAACTTTACCGGGTTTTAAGATCGTTACAATGTATAAATAAGAAGTAAATTTGATGTCTTAGAAGTTAAGATTAGATTATATCCATTTTTGTACACTTTTTTTCACTTTTCACTTATGAACTGGGCTTGTACTTTTGAACTACCATGAACTTTTAATTCTTGCCTTGAAATTTCATGAGCGCCAAGCCACAGTAACTAAACTGTAAGGCCAATATCTATCTCTTTTGATTTATTTACTGACTTAACATTCAAATATATAACCCTAATATATGTTTAAAGTGAATTTAATTGTACATCGACCTTGTACATGATTGCTTTACTCTATGAAACTTGAAGAGTGTCAACCGAAACGATTTCAAGGTTTTTTAGTTCTTCTCAAAGATTTTTTATGATGTTTTTTTGGATAAAATTTCTTGCTTGATTTTATTTTGTGGCACAAGCATATGAAGTTCATCTTCGAGTGGTAAAATACCAGAAGATAAGCTTATTTTCAAGCCAAAGTGCAATTTTCTTTTTCTTATATAGACACATCTCCACAAAGAAACTTGTTGGAATGCATGTTAAAGTGTGATATTATTATTTTTGATTGTTTTTGTCTACAGAGCTACAGTGGTTTAGAAGAAGCAGTTTTTAGAAATATCGAAGCATGTCAAAAACTCTCAGAAATAACACAAACTTCATTTGGCCCAAATGGTAAGACCTTCTCTTATGGGGTTTAATAAACAGCTATTAGATTAATCCGAGCATGATATTATCAAGTCAAAGGCCATGGTATTTAATGAAGCTGCAGGCCTAGATAAAGATAAAACAGCCGAGGTCTTGATAAATTATGATTAAGCAATGATTGTTTTATTATACATTTTGTAAACTAAGAATAAAGATTTAATTCTGCTTTCAAGCAAAAGTAATTTGCATGATAAATGTATTATCTGCACAAGAACCTACAGATAGGGACTTACATTTATAATTTCAAGCTCACATGATATCAAGGATTGGCTGAAGGCTCTCTGCCAATCAGAAGTGAGATATTTAGTAAAACGTATAATAACAGAGACCTTTAGCACAAAGTTCTTACAAGGTACCACAAACCTCAAACTGCAGTTTGACGTCAGGTGTTATATGTTAAACATTTGACATTTAGCAAGGCCTCATAACAAAGTGGTTAATAGAAGAGCTTCCATATTGAGTTTCAATAATGCTGAGTGTTCATTTGTGTTCATGTGCGTGTTTCTGGGCCCGATCTCTAGCGGTTGGTTGTAAACCTGATACTAAAGGATCTCTAATATTGCATAGCCACCTGATCCATCCCCTGAATCCACACTTGAACAAGTTCGTGGAAGCAAGAATTTGAAATTAAATGCCACGAGTCTTTCCTTCAGTTGATCTTGTTTTTGTTTGCATTGTTTTCAGGAATGAACAAGATGGTTGTCAATCACCTAGAAAAATTGTTTGTTACTAATGATGCGGCAACAATGTTAAAAGAATTAGAGGTGTGATATACTGTTGTTATATAAGCCATTCTTTTACATCCATATCTGTAACACAACACAGACAATACAGTGTGTGCAACCATGTGACTCAAAATCCCTTGAGATATAAATAACAATGAAATGGCTGTCATCTTAGTTGATCTAACAAGAGAAACTAATGAGGAATGCTTTGTGATTGTTGACAAAGATGGCGTAATCAGTATGATTTCTCATCATTGGGTAACTTGGAAGAAATTATTATTTTATATATGTTAACTTTCAGGTGCAACATCCAGCAGCCAAAATGATTGTTATGGCCTCACAGATGCAAGAACAAGAGGTGAGGGAATGCTGACATGTTTTCATAGTCTGTTACAGTACTACCCTAGGGTGGAGATACTCCTATGTAAGGAGGGCAGAGATGGTCGTTGAAAAATAAATGAATTTTAACCCCAAAAAGAGAGAGCTTGGGCGTGGTACTGGTTTAATTCTAGCCCTAAAAGATACCACTTTGAAACACTTGATGAATCATTGAAAACAAAAATCATCGAGTTACTATCAACATACACGGAAAGTAATTAACTGACATCTGATATCCAGTTTAATGTTGGGGGCTACCAACTGTGTACCCCTAAGAGATACCCCATGTGCTAAAAATCAACAGCTTGTCCTTTTGCACCCCTAAAAGAGGAATTGATTTCAACCCCTAAGAGATAGAACAATCATGCCTGCCCTTCATTATGTGGGAGTACCCTTGGGGTGTTACCATTATAATTCTTTTATCTAGGAAACTTATTAACATCTGCGATTCTTTTTTTTAGGTTGGGGATGGTACAAATTTTGTCTTGATATTTAGTGGTGCTCTTTTAAGAGCTGCAGAAGAACTCCTTAGAATGGTTAGTATTTATGATAAAATATGATTATCTTAACTTCAATAAATATATTTAAAAAACATATATTCTGGTATCATAGAATAATGTTTATCATTTGAGGGGACCCCTGAAAAAACAACAGAGTCCTTGATAGGAATCAAACCCATGCCCTTTAGGGGTTTCCCTTCAGGATGCCAGTCTAGTATTCTATTACCTCCAAGTAATAGTTGGTTTAATGTCTGTTGTAAAGGCTCAAAACAACAGTCGATCAATGGACAATGTCTTGTCAAATTTGGCACTTGTCCAGCCTAACACTTCTTTATTGGTCACATACTGATTGGTCCATTGCTGGCTGGTCATCACGTCTGATGATTGAGCAGCCATTATTCTTAGACCTGTGCTGCACAATTTTGAAAAGATATGAGTAGTTTTTGTACACATTTTTAAGTGTGAAGTCATAATGCTGGATATTATGGCACTAATTTAAAGATTTTTTAAAGACTGTAATATAATGTGTAGCTTACATGGTTTCTAGGGAGTATCAGTACCAGAAATTATTGAAGGATATGAGATGGCATGCGAAAAGGCGCTAGATTTATTAAAAGGTAAAAATGTTTTCCTGTTTTGGTTTGATTCAAAATACTATTTTTATTTGTAATGAGTATTCTAAACTCCTCAAAACAGCAGTATATACAGGGTGCCCTAGTGTGTGTGTGTCTCCTTCCAAAATGATGGCTTGCATTAATTCCCAAGAGAGACAAAGATGTGGCAGCCATCCAGGTGATCTCGCCTCGAAGCGTGTAAAAGATTATCATTTGTCAAAGCAAACAGTTCCTAATACCCTAATATCCTTTTTCATAATATCTCAATGATCAAAATGGTGGCTGGTGACTAATCAAGGCACCTCCGGTTTCGCTTACTTTTATTGCGTTTATGCTTTGTTTTTATTAATTTTAAATGCTGACAGGGCAAAAGTGTGCTTTTTTGATACATGTAACAGATTTTTCAATGTAAAGTTATATTTCAGGACGTATTTTAAAAAGATTAACTCGAAATACAACTCCATTTCGAAGCCATCATGGAATTTTTGGCAGTGCAACAAAAATGCTTCTGATTGGTTAATAGTAGCCAGAAGTGCGTGTGCGAGATCACCTGGATTTTAGTGGTATCAACAGTGGATGCTGGCGTAACACGCAAACAAAGGATCAGTATTCAAAATCCCAAGATCTATGCGTGTTTTTTTAGGGGGGGTGGGGTTGCAGGGGAAAACACTTTGTGCTGCTTGGTGGTGGGAAGTGACCCAACCCCAATGGGCAGTACTGAGTGCACATCTTGCAAAGTAACAAAATAATATTAGTAATGAAAACTGAGCTGAAAACTTCATTCACAGATTTAAGCTGCTCAACTGTGGGGAAACTAGATGATGAAAAGGAAGTAGTAAAAGCTATAAAAACATCTTTGGCTAGTAAACAGGTAAACCTGTCGTAGATATGTATTTATAAAATAATTGGGATACACTGCGATTGGTCAAAAACCACGTTTGATGAGGGTATCAAAACATGCTATCGTCATTTTAGCACGCGCAAGTTTGAATAAGACGGCACATTGGGAGAATTTACTTAGACTTTGCTTTTTTTCAATCTTTTCGCACTTTTGTTATTTTATAAAACAAATCAAAAACAGTTTTCCATGTTTGATACTCTGATTAAAACACTTGGGATGTTGGGAGAACACTCGAGAAGCTGGTGGTTTCATATACGCTCCTCTCGTGTTCTCTCAACATCCCGCTTGCTTTGATCAGAGTATCAAACATGGAAAACTGTTTTTGATCTGTTAAATATAGAAAATTGATCAAAAAGACATAGGGAACATAGGGGACAGAGAGTCCCAGATAGGAACCTACCCTACCTTCAATCAAACTCCTAAGGTCACTAGACCCCACCCCACTCTCCCCTGGGACATACCTTTGGCAGAAAAATGTAATCATACCTTTGTGTCTACCCAACATTTTAAGCAAAAAATAAAAAATGAAAATAAACAGCAACAAAAAAAAAAGGAAGAGAAAAAGCAAGTACTAATGTCCTTTTTATTATTTTTTAGTATGGAAATGAAGACTTTTTATCAGAATTAATAGCACATGCTTGTGGTAAGATAACAAATCTAGCTTCGTGAAACTTGAAGACTCAAAATTTAAGTTATTCAGCTTTCTTTTTTCCTGTATGAAAATTAGAGACCCTCCACCTATCAGCAGCCTGACCCCACCCTATGAATAATGACCTCAAAATGTTCTATATTGACGACTCATAAAACTCCAGCGTATACAGGCCCTAGGATTGCTTGTTTTGTTATTCTAGTTTCTCAGAATTGAGATTAAGCCTGCATAGACTGGAGAATGTCCTCAATATTGAATTGATGGTGTGATCAAAATATTCTTTATTGTAGTGTCAATACTGCCAAAGAAATCCAATTTCAATGTTGACAATGTTAGAGTGGTAAAAATCCTGGTAAGTTGTTCATGTCTTACAGTGCGACTACTCCAACCAAGGCCGCCTCGAAAAATTTTCTACAAGTTTATTGTCCAGTAGTGTTTGAGTATTTAGACAATAGATTAGCGGCAAATTTTGAATTTAAATATTCTTCTGTTGTTCCAGTTGGTAAAACTAAAATGATGAACAAGAGCTTGTAATATATTTTCTTCACAAATTAGTGATTGTGTCACCAAAAATATAGAAAAATAATAAAGCATTACTTTAAATGTGACAGGAAAGCAAATTAGAAACCGTATAAAACACAGTCTTTATGATTACGATTTGTTTCTTCCAGACAACAATATAATCAGGCTGACACTGTTAAATTTTATCACCGTGTGGTTATGCAACAAATTTATCTTTAATGGCAGTCTTCTAAACCGTGTAAACTCATGGATATTTGTCCAATTTGTAGCGATTCTATTGTTCAGATTCCCATTTTTGATTGGCTAATTTGTTGAAAATTTGTTAATTTGTTCAGGTGGCCTTGGTTGAATTAGTTTCACTGTAATAAAGTTCACTGTCTTAAAGAAATAAATGAGGTCCTGTTAGGGGGATAAAGATCTGTATGCGCAATTTTAAAATGCACCACAAATAATCCAGAGCCGGCACTTTTTGCTTCTAGTATACTATAACTTATAGCCTAGTAGTAGCTCATCCAATCAGAAGGCAGCATTGATGATAAACCATACTAGTTGTATTTGACTAATGGCGGTTACTATCTTCGTTCAGGGTTCTGGAATCCATACCTCATCAGTACTACAGGGTATGGTGTTCAAACGTTTAGTAGAAGGAGATGTGAACAGTGCTATGGATGCTAAGGTTGTTGTGTACACATGTCCTATGGATCTCCTGCAGACAGAAACCAAGGTAAATGTCATATCATTCTCACCTCCCCCCCATTCTCCCCCTGCCCCCACCCATATAAAAACAGCCCAAAGTTTTAAAAGACCTCGCTAATTGTTAAGCCCTGTTTACACTGGCAATTTTTGCTGCGATTTTCGTGGCAATTTTCAGAAATATGAAATCTTTTGTCTCATCCTTCAAAAGAGACATTTGTCTAAGAAAATACACCTACACTGTAAAATGCGGAAGTTGGTGGGTTCGATTGCCATCAGTTCTTTCAGTATTGTTTCTACTCCATTTATATTTTCACATTTATAGGATATGATCCTCATTATTTTAGGCTTCTTTACCTTTGACATAATGCTTTCACTTCAGACCATGTGTCATTCTGACAATAAGATTCTCTGTTTGAGTCATTCAGCTATTAGAATAATGCTTTAATACTAATTTAATCTTTGATATCCTAATCCTCAGGGAACTGTATTAATCAAGAATGCTGCAGAATTGAAAAGTTTTAGTAAAGGTGAAGAAGAACAGCTAGAACAGGTGAGTCATGGAGAAATATTACTTTCTGAAGGTGATGACACAGTGTTGGTGATGGTGATGATGATGACACAGTGTTGGTGATGGTGATGATGACACAGTGTTGGTGATGGTGATGATGACACAGTGTTGGTGTTGTGGTGATGGTGATGATGATGATGACACAGTGTTGGTGTTGTGGTG